TGTGTGTGTGTGTGTGTGTGTGTGTGTGTGTGTGTGTGTGTGTGTGTTCTCTTTGGTTTAAACTTAGGTAACCAGCCTCAGCAGCAATATATCTGCAGAGCCATGTCACTGGCCACCACTTAAAACTTTAAATTGGTAACTATTACTTAATATTTCTACTTTCAAAATGATGTGGCCTGAACCATTCTTTGGAAGTAAAAACAGAGTGGTATGCGATTTCTATGATTCAGTCATTTAATATAGTTAGCAATGAAAAACATGTCAGATGGATGATTGACCACTATAAAATTCCAAATGATGTTCTTAGTCATATGATATTTCCCCTGCCCCTTTAATAGACAATGCCATACAGATAAAAGGCTGGAAACACCATGTCTTAGTTACTTTCCCATTGTTGTGACAAAACACCATGACCAAGGCCACTTATCAAATAAAGCATTTTATTTAGGGCTTGTTGTTCTAGAACATTAGAGCCCATGGCCATCATGACAGACAGCATAGCAGATGCACACCGGATCAGAGGCTGAGGGACAGCAGCTCAGTCCAGAAGCCTGAGACTGAGGAAGGAAACTGGACATGGCATGGGATTGGGACTCTCCACCTATTGTGATGTACCTCCTCCATAAAAGGCCACACCTCTTGATCCTGCCAAACGGTTCCACCAACTCTGGACCAAAGATTCAAACATATATGCCTATGGGCCCATTCTTCTTCAAACTACCACATGTAACAAACGTAATATACTAATGATAAATTCATACATTATAATGCTAAAAACTGTCATGGTCTTTAGTCACTATCATCTGATCACAGAATGAATTTACATATCAATAATTATTTCTAATACTGAAAAAGCTGATGTCAGAAGAAAAATGTGGTACAAATATCTGATTTGTGTCTTATTTATTAAAACAAAGATTCTCAATATCCATGGCAAGGCATTTGTGGACACTGGTTTATAAAGTGTCAGGTTTTTAATGAAAATTCAAAATATTAGTTAAGCTAAAATTATGTTTACTCTTTTTGAAAAGTTGAACTTCAGTCTATGTGCTGACAGATTTTAAGTCTCAAGTCAAATGTGACATGCTAGTTTTCATAAATTAGTTTAAAATAAAGATTTCTTAATATCAATAAAGAATATAAGTATTATTAATCTTTTAAAGTTGTGTGCTGTAGAAATCTTTATATTCCCTGTACCTTATCAGAATATGAAATTGAATCTTTTATAATAAAATATTCTCTATATTGACAATATAAATACTAAATTTTTCTTGAAATATTGTTTTGTCACATTACTAATATTGAATATTTGACAAAGGACATTTTAAAAACATGAGTTCTGAAAATAGTCCGATTCTGTGGAGGAATTCTTGAGTTAAAGTTTCAGAAACATGCATGTGGTTGGAAGTAGAATTTGAGAGTTCATTTTGATGCTAGGAAAAGTATTCCATTGACTTCCACTTCAAAGGCCACAATGTGTTTGTGGTCTTCTAACTATGGAAACTTTTCAATTAAATTATAAAAGAGAAGTTATAATTGGATACTCTAAAAATCTCTATTACAATTTTGAATAATGCACAATGAATCCATATTGCATAACAGATGTAGTCGGGTTGCTGATGACTCACTTGGAGAACTGTTCTGGGGAGATTGACACCTCAGAAGAACTGATTCGCATTGCATTTTCTTTCTCCCCCTCTTCTCTTCCCCTCCCTCCTTCTTCTCTCTCTTCTTCCTTGCAGACTGTAATAACTTAGCGAAACTGGCCATTTGAACTGACCTGTCATATATGAGCTTCTTGCTCAGTCATAGAAGCAGACAGAGTTACAAAAAGGATACAGTTTATTGGTGTAGAATAATTATGTCAAGCCGTTATTATTTCCCAACTTTCAGTATAGTTTCAGTTAAGTTTTTTTGTATTTAAATAACACAGTGAAATTTTTAGAAAATACTCAGTCATTTCTCTTACCGTTATATCTCTTGTGTTTTATAATACAGGCCTCCATGTACTTGGAAACTATATCTAACTGTTAGCTTTAATCCTCATTAAATCTAGTGTCTGGTTCTTATCTCTGCTGCCTCTAACATTTGGCAATGGAGTTCACTTTCATTCACACCTTAAAGAAGTCAACTTTTCTGTATATCAAAGGGAGTTTGCTTGCTCTGTTACCAAATTAGGAAATTCTGGAAACCAAATTTGCAGGAAGAAAGGTCTCTGGGGCAGTTATGTAAGATGAGTTGTTTGAGATGATCTTAAAGCAAGGAAAAAAATATTGGCTAAGGTATTTTCAAATGCATGCTGAGTTTCTGTTTTTTCTTTTGAGTCTTTGCTCGCAGTCAAGTATTTTAGTAGAGAATTTAAATATATTTCCAATATAGAAAAACAGTGACTAAACTACACTTATGTACTCAGCTATTCTAACCTGTGACTGACAAGTTCAGTCCCCACAGAAGCTAACCAGAACAAACTGCAGCTCTCTCAGGATTACCTGTTATTTCCTAAGACTTTGAAAATTTAGCTGAGTGTTTGGTAGACACAAAACAAAACACAAATGCGAACAAATTCCTGCGTAGATTACGTTTGATTCAAATCTCTGTTCAAATGCTCTAACTGTTTTGGTGTTAGGTCTCTGCTTCCGAAATAACACATCAGCCCCCACTAGCAGCGTGTGCATAGGTGGTACAGCTCCTATTTTCCTGCAGTCTGGCCACCAGGGCAAAGCACCAGATTAGCGTGTGTGGGATTTAAACACACAGGACTGCATTTCAGGAACTTTTCATATCTTCTCCCTTGCCTTTAGGTAAAAGACAGTCCTTCAATCCTTGGGTCTCTTTTTTTTTTTTGCAAGCAGGTATAGAATAATAGAAAATTAGAGGATTTATTTGACTATTGATTTGAAGACAAGACAGATGAGCTGGAATGAAATATATTGACTCATTTCCTTCCTCTTCCTTTTTTCTTCTGTACAAGAAAAGTCCAACAGCAGAACCATGGAAAATAGCTAAGTGTTCATCCGTTGCATTTTACTACTCAGGTACAACTAATACAAATTCAAAAAATGCTAATAAAGTCTGAAATTTCCCAGTAGGGGAGTAATGGAACACTTTTAAAAGAGGCACTTTCAGTTAATGACTAAGGCATTTTTTGCTAACAGCAATTTTGGCTTCTTATCCCAGGTGGAGAAAAATGCATTAAACAGGAGATTAAAATGTCCTTTCAACTGCTTGGTAATGCCAGCTGCTGCTGCAGGCTAAGGCATCCATGAAGTGGCATTTAGTTGATGGTGGTTCTGTTGTAGGGATGAAGCTAGCCTGAAAATTCCGCTGGATGGGGGTCTCTTTAAATATGCTGTGTACGCACAAATAGCAAGTGTAGGAGCTCAGCGAGGATGGTAAACTGTACAATCTGTTCATTGCATTTTGGTTGCTAATTAAGAGGTGACATGCAGTATGAATGCACAGAACCTGTTGAAATTCTGTCAGGCTCTGTCTTTGCTTTCAGATATTTGAATGCTGTTTAATAAGGCATCTTAATTGAAAGCAGAGAAATACATAAAAGTAGGGTACAAATATGTTGGATTAGTATTCTATGACAATGTGTGTGTGTGTGTGTGTGTGTGTGTGTGTGTGTGTGTGCATTTTCATGATTTCTAACCCCTTGAAGCTTCTTAGACAGCTACTCTACTACATAAGCACAATATGCAAATTCTGTTACTTTTTTTTTTTCCTTTTTCTTGCTGTGGGGATTAATACTGGAGTGGAAAGTTGGAAACAGAACTTGCAAACACAAATGGGAACTTCATGATGACTCTGACATAAAGGAAAAAATTATTTCTATTGCCAAGAAATACCAATTTTATGAGAAGCATTTAAACAAAGAAGAAAAAAAACAATGGGAGTCACTTATATTTTACAGTGTTTTGTGTATGTATTTTAATAACAAAATGTGTGCTTTCATTTCTTTAGAATGCGAAAGCAAATTCATACACACCTTTGCTTTCGGCAGATTGTTGTCATGAGGAAAAATAATGAAAGAAGAAGAAGAGCTGTAACTGAAGCTTGTGATCCCAGTGAAGCTGAAATCACCTTGGTGGTTATCTTTCATCAGTGTCAGAGTGTCCAGAGCTGAGACTTGTAGCTCTAGGTTTTAGCTTCCCAGTTTTACGTAAGGAGGTAATGTGAGAAAAGATGTGAAGCACTTTAAATTTTCCTGATATACAGAACATGTTCAATGTTATTAACTTTGATGATAGGAAAACATTTTTTAATTATCATTTTGATGTTCAATATTATTTTGTCTAAACCCTTGAGAGTGCCAGTGGACTTAGGAATCTTGACAACAGGGGATTTTGTAACAGAATTCTCATTTTCTGTGCTTGTATATTTACTAACATCATCTACATTTGGTTTAATTATTAACTAAAAATTCTACCTCCTCAAATAGTTGAATGCTTCATTATTTAAATACATACATGCACATGTGCATACATACACATCTAGTCATCGCTTAATGATAGCTTCAGTAGATATGAGTTGAACTGAAGGGTTTTCAATTTCTACTTGTACTATTCACATCTTCTCTGCCTCCCAGCTTACTAGCTCACTTGACTCAGAGTTGAATGTGTCTTAATTTGATGCCCAGGTTTGTTAACATTCCTCATCCAATTTCAATAACATCTTAGCCAAACAAATACAAAATCTCCTGTTGATAGAGTGAATTCTCTGGAGAATTTGTCTTCATTGAGATTCATAAACTTTCAGGATTATAGATAGACTCAGTCTGGATTCGAACCCCATGGGAATTGAGTTAACAGTGGGATGGTATAGCAAACATCCATTATGACATACATAACTGAGAGGTAACTTGAGCAAATGACTCCAGCAAATGTGCTGCTTGAATGCTATTTTTAATCATCGCACCCATAGCAATCAGTTGTGAGTTGCACCTTCTTTGGCATGAGGGGTTGAGAAACTAGAGAATGGGAAGACTGGACGGCGATCTGTCACTATTTTGGTGAGTCTAAAGATGAGGAGAACAAGAAGAAGCCATTCTCTTTCGAGATTTGTTCCAGTGTCGGGAGCCAAGACTCAAACACTTTTATTTGAAGGTTCGCTCAAATAAAAATCTATGCATCAAATAACCAAATTCTTAGTTATATTGTGACAATTCTCTGTAAGTCCACTAATCCATTTTTGAAATATATATATATATATATATATATATATATATATATATATATATATATAATATATAATAAATACTATTTTTAGGGCATTGGAAGTTAAGAAATATTGTCTCTGCAGCCAAAACCAAGATGAGTTGAAGTGATATCCTGGACAACTTGGAAATATTCCCCTTTCCATCCATGGAGCTGAGTAGGTACTATGCAATGATTTTTATACTGAGACACTCTGAAGGTATTTTATGTGCTTAGTAAGAATGTAAATATTATTAGAGATTCCATAACTCTAATCAATAAGAAATTAAAAATCATACTAATGCCTTTAATTATAAGTCACTTCAAAATCTTACTGAAAGAATTTAGTTTTTCTTGGTAAATGGCAGTTAAAAACATAGCAATTACATGTCCTCACAGATTACTTGGTGACTCTGTTTGTAAAGTTTCTCTAACTTGCCCTCTGATTTTGTACCTGAAATGATCTCTTTACCCTATAATTATTTGCTGTGTAAATATCCATTGATAGATGGCTGACTATGGACATTTTCATTTAATTAAAGGTCAACACCAATATATAAATATCCTTTATTTAATAATAATATTTGTTCCTATAACCACACATGTAGATTAGACTCCAAGACAAACTGGTTTTTGCTGTGTTTGCTGAGATACATGATATGAATTTGATGCCGTAAGCATCAAGTTCCCTCATGGCATTGGTAAACAATAATAATATGCAATAAATGCATATAGAAATGCTGCAAATAAAATCATTAATTATGCATACATTTTCTGAATTTCTGCATAGATTAAATAATAATGAGTGGGAACAATCATTCTGGAGACATTTTACTCAAGTTTTAAATTGTATGTCTATTCACTCTCATAATGCTTCTTCTCTGAGCACAGCAGAGAAAATGGCCAGGACTGAGGAGACCTGAATAAGGTTTACACAACTTACCCCTCTGTTCCGAGAAGACTGTGGGGACAGAAGGGTGAAATGGAGCAGAAAGCCAGCGGAGGTCAGATGGGTCACATGGCTGGAGTAAAGAGCAGGTAATTGAATTTGCAAATGATATGAAATTGGGAGTTGCAAGGAACAGAGGGGAAGAAATGCTCAGGGGTGCCAGCAAGCGAGAACTCACTTCAGAAGTCTGAGCAACTTGACATTCTGAAACTTTTGAATATTTATACTTCACACATTTTGGCTTTGGCTTTGTTCTTTTCCATGGGATTTATTAGTTGCTGCCCCAGAAAATATCCAACAATCATCCTGTCAACCGTTTAACAAATATGTACTCAAAGTGTTCCAGCTCCTTCTCGCCTCCAAGAAGGACATGGAGATTAAAATAAATATGATCATTATTTTTACAGCTTTCCTGGCTCACAGACACTCTTGCCCTGGAATGTTTTAACTAAGCATAGGACACATAGTAATGTGGACATAGTAAAATTTGGATGTTACCTGGCTCTTAAATTGAAACTTTTTGTGGAAGTCAATTCAGTATTTAATGTGAAAGAGAATATGGCACAGCAGTTTTGCAAGTCAAGAGCATACTTTAAGCAGGCCGCAAGCAGAGACATGGGAGACATCACAGTTCAGAGTAGGTTGGTATTGGAAATAGCTTTGAGCTTGTTATAATTACCAGGAAAGGAGAAATACTTTTTTTATTTTATTATTAGTGATTGGCAGGCAGCATGTCGGTGCCACAGCAGTCATGAGGAAGTCAGAGGACCACATTCAGGAATCAGTTCTTTCCTTCTACTGGAGGATCCTGACGTCCAACTCGGCTTGTAAGGCTTGGACAGCAAGTGATCTTACCTCCTTCGGTCATCTTCCTGGATCGGGAACGAGAAATGCATTTACACCTCAAAACATTTCCCCTCCTTTGCTATACATTAAACGTTTCCTTCTTGCTTTAATTGGATGTAGCTTTATTTTTGAATAATAGGAGGTGCCCGACTGTCACTCATGAGAGGAGAAGCTTGTTTTCTGAAGTGGACAGTGAATGGGAGGTGGCATGAGGACACCCTCCACGCCCATCACCATCAACTCTCCTTTGCTTCACCCCTCTCCTGCGGCCCGAGTAGCTCTGTAGAAAACAAAAAATAAAAGAGCCCTGGGAATGGGTGTAGACTCCATAATACCAGACAGGGAGATGGAGGTCATGAAAATTTCAAGCCTGATAGAAAGAGTTAATGTTCATTTAGGCAATGACCTATGTTGTTTAATTTATTTATATCATCTAAATGCTATAACATTCTTTTCAAACTTGTCTCCTGACAGTTTTCTTACAGTGGTGTCTTAAGGAAAATTGTAAACTTGAAAGTTCCAGCATTGTGGATTTATCAAAACGAAAGTATTTCTCAGACTTACTTTTCACATTGGTTTCATAGATGTTCTACACTGGTGAGCTAGTATCACTAAAAAAGAAAAAATATTCTTCCTTGAAAATAGTTGCGTTTAGGCCGAGACCTGATTTGGAGACCTTCTGCTCCAGTATTTCTGATGCTAGTTACGGAAGAGGGGGAAACGGGAATTTATAACTAAAATTATTTAAATGACAAATTTTGCTAAACAGGTTGCTATGATAATGTGTGGGAAACACACACATTTTCTAAATAAAATCAGAAAAATCACCCACCTAAAACTAGTTTATGGTGGAAAAGCTCTTATAAGTAAACGCCTGCATGGGGGCATGGGGCCCTGCATCCAGCTTAATCACAATCTTTTTTTTTTTTTTTTTCAAAAAGAAATTGTTGATTCTTAATGACATCCCTCAATCAAATAGACAAAAATATTCCGTCATTGTTTCTGTCGATTGCTTGTTTGCTGTGACAAAACAACTATCTAGGTAGCCCAGGTTGGCCCTGAGCTAGTTATCCTCTTATTTCAGACTGCTGTGTGTGGGTATTACAAACATGTCCTGCCAGGCTGACCACGGCAAAATATTTATTAGGAAAATGGCCACTATTGTAGTATTCAGGGCCAAAGCTCAAGACAATATGGAAAAATTAACTCCAAGTGCTTACTTTAAAAATATCTTCACACACTGTGTGACTTGTGAGTGGATGGCTTTATTATGTCCCTCAACAGCTACCTGTGTATACCTCAGAGCAAGAGCTTCACTCTCTAATCCAGTGCCAAACGAAGCAACCTGAAGCCAGAAATTTAATAGTGCATTAATATGATTAATATTCAGACTTTAGTAGATGCTCCTGCCATGCCTTCTGATGTACTCATATATATAAGGGTCTAAACTACCACCCACTGGCTACTATTTAATCAAACAAGAAAAGAGCAGGTAAATTACACTTGTCAATATGAAGTTTAGGGCCATGCTCAGTGACTGTCACTCAGTTGAATAGTTCCAGAGTGATTAGATGGCTGGAAGGAACGCAGAATAAATATATCCTTTATCTCAACACAAAATAGACTTTTTTAGACTTCTGAGAGATGGTCAATTTGTTCTCTCTCTCTCTCTTTCTCTGTAGTCATCCACAGGTGCCATAAGGCGGGAGGTAGAAATGCCATGACGATGAGCAAGTGTATGGTGGAGAAGTGGAAGAGAATGATGAATTGAATGGCGTGTGTGCTGTGGTCAGAGGCAGTTCTGAAGAAGTGAAGGCCATGAGAAATGGGCTGACTGGCGACCCGCTTGCCACCTGGGTGAATCTGGGCCTGGGGCCATGTCTGGGTCCGTGTTTCTACCGCAGCTGGGGTCTATGTTGATGTTCTCCATCCATGTTGCCTCCAACGCCTTGGAATGCCTGGGGTATGGGCCACCACCTCTGGCTGTCTTGGTGTCCCAGGGCCTCACTGCTGGGGTCATGTTGATCTGAATGGCCTGTGCTGCCACCCAGGGCAGTGGTGACATCAGAACCCCTGCTAAGGTGTGAGGTCATGTCTGGGTCTGTGACCCTACATCAGCCAAAGGGAGTGGTCTTGAGGAACAATAGCCAGAAGATCTCCATCACTTGGGGAAACAGCAGGATATCCAAGAGGAGTTATAGTGAAGGTCCAGTGATGGTGTGCCAGAGGCCTTGAAGGAGACCATTGATTCATTGCAATGAACATTTTGCTGGTGGGGATGACTGGACAAAAAGGCCTACCGTGGGACACACCATGGCTCCTGATGCCACTAGGATGAATGAGGAGGTGTTGGAAAGACAGAGGAACAAGGCAGGTGGCTTTTTTTTTTTGCTTTGTTTTGTTTTTAATTAATTTTGGCGGGTTCTTTTGGGGGGGTATGCTGAAGGGGTGAGGAGTGGATATGGAGGAACTGGGCTGGGAGGTGAGTGGGATTGGGGTGTATGATGTGAAATTCCCAAAGAATCAATAAAGAGTTATGTTGAAAAAGAGAATCAACATCTATGAAAGATAGATATTAGTATGACCTGTATAACAAGTTTATTATAAGAACTAACCAGTTTGAAACAAGTAAATGTTTAAAACATGGAGTTCATCTGCATAAAGGTTTAACTACAGTGGAGCTCTGAATGTCTTCGGTACTGCATGAAAGGAATGTGGTAAGGGATCAAGGGATGAAAATTTTAATATCAAAAAGACTAAGTCCTGGGTTTTCAAGGCTGGTATAGCTTGAATAACAACTACTGTACTGTCAGCAGTACTGAGTCTGGAGGCTATCACTCATGAAGATCTTATTTCCATTTGTTAGTGTCATTATTTATGCATTAACGCCAGCCACTCAAGAGGTTGAAGCAGGAGGATTCCAAGTTTAAAAACTTGGCTAGGCTTCTAAGTGCGACCCTGTCTCAAAAAACAAACAAACAAACAAACAAACAAACAACTCTGAGATGTAGTTCAGTGATGGTGTGTCTTCATAACACCTTAGAATCAATATCAATGTGACTAAAATTGTGGACATTTGCTCTCAAAGATTGTATTTGTCTGCAGTATTTATAATTTACTGCTATGATGTATGCATGTGTGTGTTCGTGCATGCATGTGTGTGCGTGTGTGTGCGCGCACACGCGTGTGTTCTACCTATGAGGATTGCAAAAGTCATCACATAGATTTTCATCAGCCAGAAAGAGGAATTTTGGTGGCAATTCTATTTGATCTTAGGCACAAAACTGAAAATGTCATGTATTTGTAGGTAGTCAAATCCTTGAATATGGCTAGAGCGGGGTACAGTCTGGATGAACAGATTTATTGAACACCTCTAATTGTATTTAATTTACTTTAATGTACAGGTATTTGAGAGCCATTCAAACTCTAGAATAACCAATAGCCCTGTGCTTTAGAGTGACGTTTTAGCAACACAATGCTGATGTGGTGTCATAAGACTTGAATCAGAGAAACTGACCAGGACATCACTTCAGGTAAGCCATGATAATGGTCTAAAGAGAAGTGGCTGTGTGGATAGAGCACAATATAGCAAAAGCCCGCTCATAAGGAAAGAGCCATTTATGTAGGTAGATTGGGTGTGGTTGGAATTCTGTAGTTCTATCACTCATCCTGATTGAGAACTGAAGACAAAGTAAACATGGGAAGAATGTTAAGGTGTTTGTACTGTCGTCAATGAACAAATGTCTGAGATATTCAGGAGTAAACTCAAGAGAACAGTATTTATTAGAGACATTAAGGAACAGGAAAGGGAAGCTAAGTGGAAGAAAAGGAAAAAAAAAAGACAGCAATGATTTGAGTCCCACTACTTGCCAAAAACTTCAGAGATGATGATGAATCTCCTCGGGAAACTGAAGAAGAGAATATGAAAGCTGCAAATCCTCATAGCAGGCAAAGGCACTGTCCAGATGGGCATGGTGGTGCATGCCTTTAATCCCAGCCTTTGGGGGGCCCATCAGGTAGAACTCTGAGTTTGAAGCCAGCCTGGTCTGCAGAGTGAGTTCCAGGACAGCCAGTGCTATGCAGAAAACAAACAGACTAACAATATTGAGCAACAATATGAAGTGCCACATAAAGAGACTACTTCCTAATCTAAGGTACGACCATCCTAAGAGAACTTCACCAGCAGTGGACCTGCAGCACTGGAAATATACCTGGCTACCTGGCCCTTCTAAGCTTTCCCATGAAGTTCTGTTTCAAAATGTCTGCAAAAACCTTAGTTCCCTAATGTTTTCTTAATATATCCAGTGCTTCTAATTAAGATAGTCTTATAAATTTTAGATTAGAAATTGGGAGATATCACTAAAGAATTTATAATTATATTTTTATTATTGAATAATGCACTGAATTAAATATGATAAAATTGATATGATCATTAAAGAGTTTTATATTATAGCTGTTTCTATACAATTCCTTTTATTGGGACAATAATTTTGACTCTGTAGTCTGTAACTTACATGTCCTCCGATAGCTCATGTATTAAATAGTGGGTCACCAGCCTTTGCTGCTTTTGGAGGGCTTGGAACTTTGAAGAAGTGGTGCTTCTTACAGTGAAATCAAAGCATTCAGACATGTTTTTGAATGGTATTTTGCACAGGGGATGGGGTGGGGGGTGGGGGGGACACCTAGTCCCTTTGCACACCCAGCCACTGTTCATCCCTACCATGAGGTACTGTGTAGTCACTAGGCACCAAGACAAAAGAGCCAAGCAAATATGGACCAAAAAATAGTTTTCAAATTAAAAAATACTAATCAAAACTATCATTTCATCATTTTCAGTCATCTCAGGAATTTTCCACAGCAAGGGGAAGTTCATTAATGTTTACTGTCCACCGAGGCTATCACTCCAGTCAACCTGATCCCCAAGCTCAATGCATTTCCAGAGGGTTTGTGGGTCCCAGGGGGACCAGCCTCATCTGGATCTATGCTTCTGCCACCACTTTACTTCACTCTACCTGACTCGATTCCTTTCCTGGGATCATCTATTTCCTATCATATTTACACAGCTACCACCTACCATCTCAGTGTGTGCCACTACCTCTGCTAAATTTTCCTGATTTTTTTTTTAATTCTGAAACAAAGAAACCTTCCCTACATGATTTTCTGAAATCTCAGGTTCTGAAGGAATTCTTCTCACGTAGTCTTTAGGAGAGTGGACATATTCAGTCTCCACCTGGAATGGTGGAAGCATTGAAGGAAGAAGAGGAGAAGGAATGTCTGTTGAGTGAGGAAGCCAAATGATAATCTTCCCTGAATCTAGATGTCAGCCATTCTTACACAATCCCACAATGCTGCATTATTATGAACCAAACCTTACAAAGGAGGGATGTGAGATGCAGGTCAAGCACCCGAAGTGAAGCGTAAGAAGGCCAGGCATTCTCGAGGCATGCTGACTTCTTCAGTTTTAAAGATTCACAACAAAAACCCTGTCATCACAACACTGGGGAAGAGAGGACCTGCAGTTGTGAGATAGAGTGCAGTTCTCTGCTACTGTATCCTAAATAGTCTCACACCTTCGTTTATTTACAATGTCCATCCTTTTCTTGTTTTCAAATTTCATCTTTGGAATTCTACTTAGGTTATCGATTTGCTGCTTCTAGTTGTCGAAATTTATTTGATGCTTATCACAGATTTTTGATACTCTCTGTGAACTGCCATTAACGTTCAATCATAGTTTTCACTACTCATCAAGAATTTGTACTGAATGCGACTATTGTATGCTGGTTATAAAGGGAGGGGATGGTCATTAAGAATTATGCCCATTCTCCTCCTTCATGTTCCTCTAGGTGTCTAAATTCTAACTTTAGATCATTCGACTGGAACAACATATGACTTTACTTATTTCTGAAATAACCATTTCACCGAAATCACTATAAATCTTAGAGGAAGAAATGAATGATCTCCTTTAGTGGATAGCAATTTTAGCTGTTCAAGCATTTTTGTTGTTGTTAAATAACATCACCAAATGCCTTTGTATCTTTTCTAGCAATTATTAAGAATTTGAACTACACAAAATGTATTGAGGTTCTAAGTGTAACTGAGAATACAGCATCTCTGCTCTTGGAAAATTATGGTTTAATGGGGAACGCGGGGAAGTAACAATTGTCTTCCCCTGGTATACATTTCCCGTTTGTCTGAAACCTGCTTCCGCCTTCCAGCAGTGCTTCCTAAGGCTGTGAATCTATTGGCCCCCTGTATTCTGTTTTTCAGACTAGTTTCTTAGCATGTCGAAGAATGCATTTCTTTCTAACAGGCAGAGTCATGGCTTCGCTGTATTTTATTCTCCATCTCACCGTTGGCTGTACTTCTCAAACCTTGCCCTCTGTCACTAGTCACTTGGATTAACCTTTCCAGTCATTCCTGCCTCTTGATATCAATTTCCTGTGTGATCTCCTTTTGTGTTTAAGCTGGACCCAATAATTATCTTGTAAAAAGCAGAATATAGAAAATGAATTTTTAAATTAGGTTATAGAGAGCTGCAACTTTTTGTTTTTTTACAATTTCATTTTCTGAGAACTTTGTTCATGAGCAATGTATCTACATCACTCTCTACTCAAAAAAAAAAATCTCTTTGTGTAGGATCCTCTCCCAAATTCATGGTCTTCCTCTTAATTGTTATTATGCATAAATATACATGTGTGTGTATGTGTGTACACAATCAACTAAGAATATTTAATGTTATTTGTGTGTGTGTGTGTGTGTGTGTGTGTGTGTGTGTGTATGTGTGTATGTGTGTGTGTATATCCAAATCAAAGCACTCAGGATTGGATACTCTATGTGGCAGCTCCTTTATCCTTTCTTATACCCTACAACTTTCCCATTGGTCTTTCTGACCATAGAGATTTTGCTCTCTCTACTACATTAAGAGGGGTTTTGTTTTGCTTTTCTAAAATACAATTATTAATGTTATTCTGCATCTACCGACTAATTTACACACAATTCAAATCATTTTGAGCTTCTCATTGATCTGAGATAAGTGGTATGCAATAAGACCTTATGACTCCCTGAACTAGGTAAAGCCAGAGTTGTTCATGTCATTCCAGAAAAGGACAACAATTTCTTAAACTTTCTGTGTTGCTAGTCTTCCTCTGTCCCACGAGCCAGCTCCCAAATAAATGACATGGAGATTTCTTATTAATTATGAAAGCTCAGCCGACAGCTTGGGCTTGTTTCTAACTAGCTCTTATAACTTAAGCCATTTGTATTCATCTGTGTGTTGCCACGTGACTCGTGGCTTTTCCCTCTTTTCTTGCATGTCTGTTCCCTCTGTGTCTGCTGGCCACTTCACCTTTCCCAGCATTCTCTCTG